TTATTATGGCGTCATTGCGAGACTGCGTCAACGTAACACTGGAGTTAGTAAACTTTTGGTAGGCTTATCACTTAATCGAAATAGGGAGACATCATATACAGTATGTGAAATTAGAAAAAACAGTAATCCTATGTATGTAGATATTATTAAACACTAGTATATACGTACGGGTCATAATAATATACAAAAAGAATAAATCGTTTATATAAGAAATTGTGCACTTTTGAGTTTGTAATAATATTTGCCTAATAAGGATACATGCTTCCAATTTCAACAACGTTCAGTACATTGTTTTCACAATAAATTTAGCCTCTGATAGTCGTTGCACCCATAAAATCGATCTAGTGGGTTTCTGAGATGGTTACAAAATGCTTAAACAATTGCGTTTTTACTTGGTTTTGGTCCGGAAAATATGTACCGCACTTAGAAAAGTGAACAGACAAAATTCATGAGTCATGCGTAATTGTTATTATTTCCATTCGCTTGTAAAAGTGGGGTTTTAATTATAGAAGATTGGTGAAAAGTGGGGGAGGGACAATCGATATTATGTCCCCCCCCCCACTTTGAAAAGTGGGGGAGGGACGCATCCCCCTGTCCCCCACCAATCGAAGCCCATGCTCTGACCACAAGCAATCAAGACAAGAATAGACAAGAACAACTCGCTCGACACGAAAATTTTAGTTTATTAGTTTTTTTACAAACATTCGAATACCTCTGACCGCAAGCAATCAAGGAAAGACTAGACAAGAACAAACCCGCGCGACACAAAAAACTTTAGTGTATTATACAAACGTTGAGACCGCTACACAACGGCCTTTGCTTCGAGATTTGAGCATGAAGGCAAGGCAAAAGCAGCTTTCTTAGCTACGTTTTGTCCGCTGATCGGTTAAAAAATATATTTCATTTTTATTTTATCACTCAAAAACAACTACTTTAAAATGTTTAGCCCATAAATATGATGTGTGTGAAGAAAAAATTAAACAATATTTTAATTTGGACCTTCAAAAAGCAGTTAAAAAGAAATGGCTATGAAATTTTAGGGGGGCTAAAGCCTGTTTAGCCCCCCTCTAAATCCGCCCCTGAGCAGTACTTGGCAGAAAAAGTTGTTTGCTGTTTATTTAATAATTTATGGCATTGTCATATAGATCAGCCATAGCAGTAGGCTTATTGTATAACACAGTGAAAAATGATTACAATTCATTATTTATTTTTAATAGAAATGCAACAATACATAACATCAACTTGAACTCTGCATTAGCTTCTGATAGTAGAGCTCCGCATAGTACACTATAGGAAAATTATATTATACAAAGGTTAGATTTAATGCTTGAAAAAATTTCCTGAGGGCCTTCAAGGCCCGGAGGAAATTTTTGAATGCATTAAATCTAACCTAAGTATAATAATTTTCCTTTGGTGTACGATGCATGCTCTACTAATTGCTTTATAAGTCAATCACTATCATTTAATTTTAGTTTTTGATAATCAACTAGTGTAGCAGTCATCGGTTGCTATAGTGATATGATCAGTATACTGTGTGCATATTTACATTTAGCTGTGTGTATGCTGATCTGTGCTCCTGAGTACATACGCGTTAGCCACACATCAGCAGTACAACAGTACGAGATAGAATACAGTCACTGACCGTTTTGGTCGGTGCATACTGAGAGGTAAAAATTGTGCGATGATTTCATAACTAGGCTAGGCTACGGCTTAGTAGGAGGAGGCCTCGGCGGCCTCCAGCCTGGACGTAGGCCTACATCCAAATCTGTTCCTGGAGTCTTTAAAATAGGTCTAGAATATTTCTATAAACGTTCAGTTTGTTTTGTTTATGAGGGTCCATTGATTCAATGAATTCTTTAATATTGAATTTGAAGTAACTTTCTTTGTGTCCTTGTTTTACGAAAGTAATTTGCAATTACAATTCAATTTTCATTGCGGTGCGCGATGTCTCCGCGGTGACGAAAAAATGAGGAATTTTTTGTTTGTGTACACAAACCTAAAAAAAATCAAGCCAGGCATCCACTAATTGAAAAATTAGTGGATAGTGGGGAATAGGCAAATAACATTGGGAGTTGCAGTAATGACGTCACGATTGACTTATAATAGGTATTAATTAACCAATATTCCTTGAATGTCAAGAATTTACAAGAATAATATTAACAAGAAAAACTATACCTTTACAAAGTGATGTTGAGAGAAAATAAATAACTAACAAAAAATACCAAACAAGAACAATAATTATTTACAGTACTCTATCGACTGTCCGCCCTAGTAGTTTTCATCATTGTCATCGCCAACACAATCAATGTCATCCTTGTCATCAGTTTAGTCAATAATTAATCACCATCAGTACTGTTGTGGTTGACTTCAGTTTTTGTCACCACCTTCAAAGTCATCATTTTTATGAATATTCATCATCATTATCCAGTTGTGGGTGGCATGATTGCCCGATGTAAAATTTCCGATTGCGACCAGAGGAGTCTAGGGGCAATGCCTAAGCCTAGAAATCTGGGCAAGTCAGTTACCAAAAACAACTACTAAGTTATTTTGCAAGATCTGCGAAAAGTGAGATATTTTGCATGGAAAACAGATTAAGAAATTTAGACCTGAAATGATTAATCAGTTTTTTTTAAATATAATCCCATTCCCCTATTAATAATGATAATAGAATACATATGATTATATTAAGTATTTACACAGGTCACCCTCTAATTGAAAACCATCCAATTAAAGACCACTTTTCTGTTGTTCCAAATTAACAAATGTCTTTTATCTTTATTATTCTAATTAGAGACCAAAGCTGCTAAAGGCAATGGAAACCCCGGTCCCAAAAATGGTCTTTAATTGGAGGAAGACCTGTAGTAAAATCTTAAACTCTGTTGGCTTGCATTGAGATGCCTGCTCATAATAATATTAATAGTGACTCCACTCTTACATACAGTAGTGAATTCTGCAAAATTGTCACAATGCATATTACAACAATGGAATATCAGTTGAGGTAATTACTTTATGTATAAGTATACTAATTATCGTAGTTCCTCTGGTATAAGGGCACTTAGAAGAAATTATTTGATTATCACTCTTTTAAAAAAAAAAAAAAAAGTCATGAAGGTGGGCTTTTTTTTTTTTATACTTTTTTTCTAATCGCAACAATAGAATATTGCTTTTTTTTTTTTTTTATTGATGAGAGAGGGACTGATTGATAAGAGAGGGACTGTTTTTATTTGGCAAGAATATTGTAAATATTGTATAAAAACTGGTTTAATTTTTTTTTTTTTACAGAAAATGTATTTCCAGTCACAAAATTGCATTGTCTTTTTAAGCTGTTGAAACAAATAATGCAGCAAAAAAATTATATTTTTTTTATTCCCACATCAATATTTCTCAAATTTTTGAAGCTGGCAGGAGTGATAATCTAACAATTTTTTCTATGTGCCCTTATGCCCAAGGAATTACAGTACTAAAATAAATAGATCTGCTAATATAATAGTAGAGTGAATACGTAAGGTCAATAAACACATTAGGTATATCAGTAAGCTACAGCGTATTCAAAATTCTGCTGCTCGTCTGGTTACCTTAACTAAGCGACATATCCATATTACACCCGTATTATATGATCTTCACTGGCTTCCTGTTGACAAAAGAATTATTTATAAAACATTGCTTTTAACATACAAGGCAATGAACAATCTCGCTCCAGAATACATCACCGAACTCCTGACTCCTTACACGCAAACACGCTCTCTCCGATCCGCTTCTAAGAATCTTCTAAAAGTTCCGAAAAGCACTACCATCACATACGGCTCACGGGCATTCACC